CAAGATATTAGCACATTTCCAAGGGGAATTGATAGATCCTAAATATTGTCGTGATAAAAATTTATGTTTATAAAATGTACAGTGGCTAATCAAATTATTACGATCACTTCGAAATTATGTACCAGTTATTTGAAGTTTGAACAAGAGTAGTATCGAACATACACTTAAAATGAAGCCTTCTTTATTACAAAAAGTATTATTATATGTTTAATATATATATATCAATTTTTCGTTATGCTACCCTTTGCATCTATAATTGCTTGAATACGTCTTGGCATACTTTCAATATGTTTTCTACAGTTTTCTTTTATTCCTGCGTCATGATGCCATACTGACATAAGTTTCTCAATCAGCTGCTGTTTATTAGTTATCATTTCTGATGCAATTCGACGTTTTAATAATTCCCATAGGTTTTCTATTAGATTCATATGCGGTGATTTGTCAGGCTACGATAAAACTTGAATTCTCTTTTTAACTAAGTAAGCTATCAACATATAGTCAAATTGTCTATCTATATGTTAAGAACAAAAAAGAAATATATTTTACTACTATTGAAGTCATAATACTACCGAAAACATAAAATATGTAATTGTTTCATCGCATCGTAATAATTTGATCATCCACTGTATATATTGGATGATTGTAAAAGTTCATGCCCAATTTTCAGAGGTGGCGGGAACCTTATCGCATTTCGGCACAGATGTTTGTTTTAGCGTCGCGTTACATTTCTATCGAAAGATACACCGCTTGTATTTTATTTTCAATTCATTGTTCCTTTCATTTTATTTTATTTTCAAATGAAATATGCATTTAAATATACCATTTGGGTTTTATTTTCAAATCGGGCACGAACTTTTGCAATCATCCAATAGATTCTTTTGTCTGACTGTATGATTACTATACCACTTCTAGAATCTATCGATGAACTCGTCAGAGATGGAAACTTGCGGTATATGTATGTGTGTGCGTGTGCGTGTGCTGCTGTGTGTACGTATAAATCGTACGGTTAATGCAAGTCAAGTCCGTCAAACTACGCGATTTATATCGATTTGCATTTCCAATGTAAAAGCCGTCGATCGACGCGCCATCACGATTGGTCGAAATCCTTCCACGAACCGATATATCAAGGTTGCCGGTGTTACGCTCATTATAATAACAGTTCCTCCGCTTTGCTGTTGTTCAAGGTTCCGCAGGTGACTGCGGAATTTTCATCTTCGTTCGATTCTTCTATTCATTCCTTACATAATTAACGTGACTCTACTCCGAGTAATTGCCAAATCAGTTATGCACAATGCCCGCTGTGTAGTTATGATATGCAGACACTAAGAAACGACCATAACCTATAACCATAGTGAACACACAGATCGATGTTTCTTCCGTTTCTTAGTGGATTTAAATTTAAATCTTTACATTTTTCGAAGTGTCAGAAATTGGATTATGTTCGAGAAACAATTTAAATTAATAGATTATAAATGCCAGATAGGATAAAAAAAATCGATTTTCTACGAATTATTGCAGTTGCAAATGTGATTCTTTTAAAACGTGCCACATAAGTTTCATATTCACATTTCTACAAATGAGGGGCCCAGTGGAAAATAGGCACATGCCTGTTTGACACCTTTGATACCTTTTGTTACATCTTACTTTCCATAAACCATTGATCATCGGCTCATGTTATTTTGATACTTTGGACCAGTTTGGAATAGTATTGTATATGGTTGCATATGTTGGTAAATAACAAGGAAATACATGAAATAACACTAATAATGGAAGCATATGTACGTACAATAGCTTTATGAGTGGATATTATCATATTATATCTCAACTGTATAAGAAATTGTTATTTAATCTAACTCTTAATCAATACGTTCAAGTTCTTGTCTCTCTTCACTTTCATCACACCTGAATGATTGAAAAAGTGAAGCATACCATCGCGGCTGTATAAACTGCATGAAACTCTGTAATTCTCTAAATTTAGTGGTTTCTATTTTGCGTTCACCTTGCCCAGATAGTACACAGACGTCTTGTGAACGTCTTAAAAACGTCGAGTAAAAGCCTGAACGACGTCCAGTATTACAAATCAGTCTTTGAAACGTGATGCTGCGAAACACTATGCGCTGACTTCAGAAACATCTCAAAAACGTAAATTTTTACGTCATTAGAACATAGGGGAAGTGTGGGTAGCCTCGGACAGCGGGTAATCGCGGACAGTTGAATATTTTGATTATTCAACGGCGCACAGAAACAAATGACACATCACCACACGTCTTCCTAGCGTCGAACACATTTTTCAATTATTGCACTTAATTTTGTTATGATTAACCGCGATATGTTGATCTGTTCCAATCAAATTTTATCAAACCTTATTCTAAACTAAATGTAAGTATTCTTTTATGTTTTGACAACTAAATGTAGTTTAAGATCCTTGAGTTTTTTTTAGTTTCTTTTTGGTATTGTAAAAATGGTTAATAAAAATATTGGATCACGTCCATCGGGTAGCCCCGGTCACTTATATGGCGGGTACCACCGGTTTGTCCGCTTACATATATCTTTCAAGATTCTGTATAATATAAATAGTTTTATTTTAGAAACGGGTAAAAAATGCCGAAATTTAAAGGACGAATAAGCAATAAAGGTAAATGGGATGAAAATAACATGAAAGACGCAATTGTTTATGTTATGAACGGTAAATTATCGGTAAGATTAGCTGCTGAAAAATATAACGTGCCATGTAGTTCCTTACAAGATCGCGTAAAGGCTTTAAAAAGCGGTTAAGAAATAATTCTTAAGTCGAAATTAGGTCATTTTGACTTAATTTTTAATGAGGAATTTTCATGGCAACTTTATAATCACGTGAAACAATTGGACAATCGCCTAATGCCATTGACTAGAAATAATGTTAATAATAATATAATAATATCTAATAATAATAATGTTAATAAGAATATTATAATAGTATCTAATTACAATAATGATAATAATAATATTATAATAGTATCTAATAACAATGTGTGGGGGAAAGACAGTGAGATCGTAATATTCTATTCCAATAAAATTTTATCAAACCTTATTCTGAACTAAATGTAAATATTCTTTTATGTTTTGGCAATTAAATTTAGTTTAAGATCCTTGAGTTTTTTTCTTTTTGTTGCTATTGTAAAAATGGTTAATAAAAATATTGGATTACGTCCATCGGGTAGCCCCGGACACTTATATGATGGGTACCCCCGGTCACTTTTATCTGTTGCAAATTTGAAAATCGTACATTTTCCTATTATGATAGTTTGTCCGCTTATATCTTTCCAAGATTCTGTATAATATAAATAGGTTTATTTTAAAAACGGGTAAAAAATGCCGAAATTTAAAGACGAATAAGCAATAAAGGTAAATGAGATGAAAGTAACATGAAAGACGCAACTGTTTATGTTATGAACGGTGAATTATCAATAAGATTAGCTGCTGAAAAATGTAACGTGTCACGTAGCTCTCTACAAGATCGCGCGAAGGCTTTAAAAAGCGGTGAAGAAATAATTCTTAAGCCGAAATTAGGTCGCTTTGACTGAACTTTTAATGAGGAATTTTCATGGCGACTTTATAATCACGTGAAACAATTGGACAATCGCCTAATGCCATTGACTAGAACAGAGTTTTTAAAACTAGCTTTTAATTCGGCAGAACGTCTTAATATTCCTCATAGATTCAACAAAGAAAAAAGAATAGCATCAAGACACTAGTTTGTGAATTAACTTTCGAGGAAGACTCGTAATGATAAATATATAATACTTAAATAACATAATAGTAAATGATATAATATTATTTGCAACATTTATTAGAACATTTAACAGCAAAGTGAACAAAATAAATAAAAAAATTACTGTCCGGGGCTATCCATAATTTTTTGAATCCTTAAAATTAACGGCTAAAATTCGCTGATTTTTTTCTTAAAGTCATATAAGAGATATACTCAAATTTTAGAATGATAGTAAAATAAAGTCTAAAGTTCTTTTTCTGAAAACTTAGTTTGAATAATACCTTTTGTTGGTATATTTTTTTTACTATTTCGTTTAAACGTCCGTGGCTACCCACTCTTCCCCTACCAATTCACATGTATGTATGTTTCAGATAAAAAATGAACGTAAACATCTCTAAGACGTTGCGTGCTATCTAGGTGATGGGCAATACGTTCAAGGTTAGGAGGGTAGCCGCGAATTTTGTGAAGACTAACCTTTCCACAGATTACTCATACTTGTTATTACACATAATATTATCCACTCACTGATCATAGAACCAATTGATTTCCTTATTTCAACTGGTTTTTTGTCAACAAGTGGCATGGGCCTCTTTTCCACTATGTTTACATAAAAAACCTCAATTTGTGTAGTAATTGCACATTTTATTATTCTTATATATTTACGTACAACTGAAATATGCTTATTCTTGGTTATGTGATAGACATCGATTGTTCGAAATGGCGATTGCACAGAAATTAATTTAGAATGAAATTTAATTCTAAATAATTGCTCATGAAATAAGAGCATTTTCCTGTTTACTGACGTGCACGAAATTTATCGATTACGCCACTGTAAATATAATAGAATAAAATTTAATAAATTTATGAAAAATGAAATTTAATAAAAATTCTCCAACTTTACTTAAAATTTAACAAATATCACATTTAGTACCATAAAATAACATAATTCAATAACCTCTCTTTATGTGGTAATATAATGCGGTAATATACATACACTTGAACCTAACCAAACAATAATCGATACACGTATATTCAAACAACAAAAAACAGCATGTAAATATTTTTTCTGTAAAATTATGAAAAAAGAGTATCTACATTAGTGAAAAAATGCAATTTCGTATATACATAAAAAAATGAACATTTCACATTGTTCTTTATATAAATGAGTTTTCAATCGTTTAAGGTACAGATAACCAGCGGATAAACAAATGGGAGGTGGAAGAGGGAAAAAGGATTTGCAACAATGGTAACGATCGCGCGTTTCCTTGGTAATGATTCTGTTCAGAATCAGCGAGGTGTTCGAACGGTTTTAAAGAGATAAATCGAACGGGATAGACAGAAAAAGAGAGGAAAAAACCGAAAATCATGGGCTCCCTGCCAAATCTACACGAGTTGTCCAAGGATAAACTCGAAAGTCCTGCTCACAGACCAGCCCCAATCGGTGGTTTAGGACCCATACAACTGCCAGCTCAACCTCCACCGTTAGCACACACTCATAGACGCGCTAGGAGCAGTGGCCATCATCATGCTTTGTGGGACAATGACGCCATGTTGGAGGTATGACATACAATTTTTAAATTTACTAGACGAATATCATGTTGATGAGAAATACATGATCGATTATCATTCAAATCCCCAGTTGCTTTAATTTATTCAAAAAGCTAATTAATCTGAAATAAGTAATGAAACTTTCAGAAGGAAAAACAGTTTTATACATTTTTAAACAGATATATTTCTTACAATGTGAATGATAAAACGAGCTTCCTTTTATTTCTAAAGTATTCGTAAAGTATATGCTTATTTCACGATAAAATACAGAATAATTGTATGAATAATCATTAATTTCAATTAAGTGTTAATAACCTATTGTTTATTTACACGATATCTGATCTATGATCACATCCTTGACTCGCTTTCAGAACATGTGAATATTAACAGCTAATAGAAAAGAAAAAAAAAATGTTTATTTCACAGCACATGGCAGCATATTCTCCTATTTCCTGTCGTTCGACAAGAACGTCCGCGTTATCATGCCGCCGACGAGACTCGATGAACTCCTCGGCAGGAGCGTCGTCCGTTCATCGGCTGATTGCCGCCGTAAGAGCAGCTCCTTCTGGTCCTAGACCGCCAAAGAAGGCGATTCTGAGGCATTGCACTGCACTCTTTTTGGGACACGCGAGCTGTTCAGCCGCCACGCTGCCGATATTCCCGTTACAGGCTGGCCTTGGTAGCTTCAATCCTCAGCTAGGACCGATGTTACTCGCTCTCCTCTATGCAACCGCGACGATCACCACTTGCTTCGCACCAATTCTCGTGCAGAGATTTGGATCGAATCTCGCGATAAGCACAAGTCACATGGCCACCACCGTTTTCGTCGGGTTACATCTGTATCCGAAATGGTACGTATTATTCTGGAGAAGAATATCTTTATCCAATAAATAATTTATGTTTCTGTGTATTTGAAAATTTTTGCATATTATCCTACCTTTAAAAGTTTTAGAAATTGAATATTTTATTTTAGTTTATTATATTTTTATTTGATTATTTCATTAAAAGTTGTTGACAGCATATTTAATTTATGTTTCTTTGCCGTAGGTATATATTATTACCTAGTTACGCGATGCTAGGCGCTTGTGTGAGTCCAAATTTCATAGCAAGAGTTTCGCAGGTGAATGCTTCAGCGTCGAGTTTAGCTCTGGTATGTGTTGACCCTGAAGATCCTGATGAAACAAGACGGGAGTGCCTTCTGAGAAGACTTAATCGAGGAATCAAATTAGCAGAAGATATAGGTCTCGCATTGGGTATGGATATTTCGAAATCATAGATCTTCCGTTAAAATTGAAGAATTTTTATATGCATGTTATGTTAAAATTACATATAATAGAATTAAATAGGAATAAAATATTGTTGTTTTTCAGGTTGTTTAATCGCTGCCATACTTGTAAAATTAACAGATTCAGTACCTCTTAATACAATAAACAGTGACGGAAATGACATTTGCGGAGCAGAGTACTGTCCAGAGGAAATGTATCTTTCTAATGGCACAATTAGTTTACCTACGTTATCATCTGGCACATCAAAAGTGTTAGTCAGTATATGGCTAGGTCTTGCTCTCCTAGGCTTAAGTATATCGTGCGCTTTCCTCGACCCTAGAATGAAGGAACCACAAAGTGTAAATGAAAAGCACAGCACACAAAATATACTCGCATCCATCAAAGCCGCGTTTCTGGATCCTAAATTACAATTGGCTGCACCATTAACACTTTTTATTGGACTTGAACAGGGTTTCATCTATGCAGATTTTATAGAAGTAAGTTCAACAATTAAATATAAATGTAAGAGTATAAATTATCTTCGATAACTTTAAAAATATTAAAAATAAATAA